CCCGCTCCGCCGCCTTGCGCTCCGAGCGGCTGAGACCACCGGCTGCCATCGCTCCGGGAACCGCGCTTCCGGCTTCCGCTTCCGCCTCGCCCAGCAGCCGGGCGGGCGCATGCGCGCGCCGGGCCCGCCCCCGCCCCTTCCGGCCCCAGCGCGTCGCCCCAAAGAAGCACCTGCAGGTCTCTTTAAAAGGCGTTTATTGATCATATACAAAATAAAGAAAACCTTATATATCACAAACATACACTATGTACAGCAATAAATACCCGGGGCCAGGCCCAGCGCCGCCCCTCCTGGACAATAACTTAGCAATAAATACTGCGCAGGGCGCGGGTGGGCACCAAGACCGCTGTCCCGCCGAGGCCAGGTCCCTGACCGCCCTACACGGTGTGGGCTCTGGGCCTCTCCTTGCAGCCAGAACCCCGGCCCTCACTCCAGCGGATCTCAGGGTACCCCCTCCAACCTTCCCTGGCTTCAGCCCTCCGCAGGGCAGACAGGGGCTGATCAACTCTGCTTGGACACACCTCTCAGTGCCAGGAGACCAACAGAGCTGGACACAGGGTAGCCCTTGTCCTGTTGCCCTAAGTTGCCAGGAGAAGGCTTTCTGCACCCACTCCCGTTTGGTTAAAGGCTTCAGGGACTAGCGGATGGAGGGATGGAAGGAAGGGCAAGGCTGGGACATGAGGCTGCTAGAGAGGCAGAAAACCCAACTGCTGTCACCAAGTACAGCTCACAGGGACACACTCTTACATTCCACCTCAGACTCAAGCGACACTCAGTATCAATGCTGCTGCTCAAGGGGTAAGGTGGAAATGTATGCAGGTGGCCCAGCAGGTACAGAACATGACCAAGATGCGCAAGCCAGAGCAGAATAGGCCATGAGAAGCTTGGCCCTGCCTCTGTGTGACACTGATTATGTACTCTGCTCTCTACAACTGCTCCAAAACCAGACAGCCAACCGGAAGGTAAAAACATGCCAAAAAGAATTATTCAGTGGCTTCTGGGGAAAAAATCGTTAACGTGTTGGTTCCTTTCACCAAACCACAGCCTAAAAATGTAAGTCACAAGATCCCAAAGCGGAAATGGTGCAGCGGGCTGTGGCTCAGTTTGCCAGCTGTGGATGGGAGTACTGGCCAAGTGGCTATTCCAGGTAGGGGGCAGTAGGGATATGGCCGGACCACCATCCCAAAGCAGGCTGCAGCTGATCAGAGATGTCAGCCCAGGCACTGCACAGAGGCTGCTGCTGACAGAGGTGTGCATACAGACCTGAAGCGTGGACGGAGAGTAGCCTGCAGGAAGGCCTGTCGAGCAGAAAGCCTAGTACACAACACAGAGCAGTCATGGAGCCTCTACTGAGGGAAGCACCACCCTGGAGCAGCAGCCAGGGACCACAGGGAGAGCTCTCTGGGGCCACTGATTTTGGCAAGAGCGGACCTGTTCACTTTTTCCCCCTCCCCTCTGAAATCTGAGCATCCACATTAGGATAAAGGAGGAAGGGGGCAAATTCAAGATAGGAGGGAAGACACACATTATGGTTTACTAGGCGGACAAGTCTGGGAGACCTGGCCTCAGCCAAAACCCTCTATTCACTGTGTCAGAAAAGCTGAGATAAAAAAGAACACAATACCCTCACAGCAAGAAAACATAATCGACAAGGATCAGAAAGACAGCCAATAGTCACACGTGGACACAGGATTTACTGTCTTTAAATCAAGGTGAAGGGAAAGGGGTGGTGCTGCCCTGGTTTGACGGACCCAAGGAACAGTTGCTCCAAATCCACAGAAGGAAGCACAGCTTCACCAACCCCAGAGCTACTTCTGCACACCAAACCAAGACAGCAACTTCTGCTCAGCACTGGCCCAACCTCTTCCTCACCGCACCCACCACATGCTCTCTAGCTCTACACCTGGAGAGCACTGTTCATCACCTGGGGATGATGACCCCACCCCATCCAGGACCAGACGACATACAGGGCCTGCCCCTACCCCCCTGTTAGGGACAAACTTGATCCATTCCAACTCTACTGCTGTAGCCAACAGCAGCAGCTTGCTTCTGCCTCCCATTTAGACAACCAGACTGAAGGAAGGCATGAAGTCATCAGGTGACTCAGTCAAGTCAGAATTCCCGTTTTGTAGCAGCCACAGGTACCAACAGGTCTGTCTGAGCACCCTAAACTGAAGAAGCCCCCCAAGACTGGAGCTGGCAGATGCCCAGCTCCCACCCCATGGCACACCAGATCGAATTCGGGGTGAAAATCCTGTTGTCCATGAAGCGGAGTCTTTCCTCTCACCAGCCCACATTCCTGTGCTTTTCAGGAATCCAGGGCCCCCCTAAGAGGACACCAGCAACCCTGTTTAGAGGCCAAAGCCACATGCCCAGAGATGGGGCTATACCTCTTTTGGGGGCGGAGGGACATAGGCACCAGTTCTGGTCACATCCCATGAGGAGCTTCCCGAATCAAGCCCAGAAGTTTGGCAGCCTCTGCCAGGTAGCTGGAACAGGGAAGTGGGCTGGGACCCCACAGAGAAGCACCTCCAAGTTGAGCAGCGATCCCTGGAAGACACAGATTCCCAAAGAGAGGAGGAAGAAGGGCCTGGAGCCAAGAGCTGCCAGCAGAGACTAGCAGGGAAGGGACAGAGCCAGCTTTGGAGTCCAAGCCCTTGTCTGGAATTGGTGGAAGTTGCCTAGGCCCTCACAGTGAAGCAGAGAAGGGGCTCCCCAGGTGGGGCCCTGTCCATTCTGTGCAGGAAGCAACACACCACAGCATGGAAACAGCTAAGGGGTAAGTGAGCAGTAGGATTTGCAACCCATTAGGGTGGGTTCCTTGAGTGTCCCACCCCATCTGTGGCCTACAGGAATAAAGCCAAAGCCAGGAGGAAGACAGCCAGGAACAGCTTAGCCATGGCCCTGTGGGAACCCACAGTGACTCCTTGGTCCCTGCAATACCACCACCCAGGTAGGGCCAGGGGTGGTGACTGTGGAAGCAGCACTGAGGCTCTGGATGCCCCTCAATTTCACCTACACAGCCAGTGGGTCAGCCCAAGCGACAGACCCACCGATGAAGCCAAGGCTCGGCACAGGTGGGAGTGGCAGAGACCCCTGGCAGACTACCTGGGCAAGGGGCAGGCTCTGAAAGCAGAAAAGGCTGGGCTGGCAGGCAGACGCCCTCACTCCAGTGGAGGAGGCGCCATCAGGGACCCCGGCTCGGCTGAGGTCCAACAAGCCAGCAGAAGCAAAAACACAACCAAACCCAAAAAACAAACACGGGAAAATACACAAGAAGGGACGGCCACAGGTCAAAGGTCACCAGAAGCACCAGCACTTTACGGGCTGCACAAAACCTCACCAGGCACGGACAACACCACGGCACCGGCAAGAGACGGAAGCAGGAAGGGCAAAGGAGTAGTAAGTCACTTTCGGTACAATTGCAAAAGAGATATCAAAGAGGACGGCCTCTGGTCGGCGCGCGGCTTGGCTTTTTTTTTTTTTTTTTTAAACTAAGTTTTATAAATAATGTCTGATAACTCTGTGTATATAAAAACTAAATTCCAACAGCCACAAAGAGTTGTCCGTAAGTTTACAAGAAGGGATTTTTTTTGTTTTTGTTTTTTGGGTTTGTTTTTTTTTTTAAACTAGCAAAGTTACTATTATACTTTCTTCCCTTTTCCATTTATATGGTCAAATGTTCTTTTTACTTGCTTTTTTTTTAAAAGACAATTTTATAAATACTCTGCAGCTCTTTTTTTTCTCTTTAGCTCTTAAACATATAATTTAATAACTTCGTAAAAGGAACTTCTCTTTTAAATAAAGGGCTATATAACCACACAAATAGGTCATGTAAACAGTGACACGGGACCCATTGCAGGACACACTGACATACCTTCCACGCACGCTCACGGCCAGTGATTTGGTCTTGTTCAGTGCACCGTGTCAGGTTTGAGCGCCAGAGCCCCTGCCCCAGCACCCACAGTGCCCAGGCAGGTGACCTACCTGTCCAGGGCCCTCAAGGACACCCCACTCTTCAGAGCAGAGCCCCTCTCTTCCTTCTGGGCTGAGCCGAGCTGCCTGCCAGGTCTGAAGAGAGAGAACCCCTCCAGTCCCATTTGAGCCCAGCAGCCTGTGGGCTGTGGGCACCCAGGAGGGGAGGGCAGACCTTGAGGCCCAGTTTACTCACTGGCTTTCCCATTCTCTTGTCCATTCCCATAGTGCCCACTCTAGACTCCTAGCCTGCATGGCCTAGGTACAAAGAGGGTTAGGAGCAACCCAACATCACCACCGAACTGACCAATCCCAGCGTACAAACACACGCACTGACGACAAGATGAGATCAAAGGGGCTCAGCCCAGTGCCCCTGGGGAACAGGTTGTGCTTTTCAGGGAAGGGAAAGGAAGGGAGAAGGGGAAGAGGAAGGAGAGGGAAAAGGAGGAGGAAGTGGGACAGGGCTGCTGACTTCGCCATGCGCCTAGTGGCCCCTCGAAGACCTGCCCGGCAATCCCACATGTCCCTATGACCGGGCGTCCGTCTTGGACTTTACTATTGTGATGACACTGGTGGCGGCCACCTTGCCAGGGACCAGGGGCCCCAGGCCAGCAGCAAGGGGGCCCCGAGCTGGGGCCACAGGGCTGCGAGCCACGGTCCTGGCGAAGTTCTGCAGGGCCTCATACTTGGAGCGCAGGGCGTCGAGCTCCAGCTTCATGCTGGCATTCTCAGAGGCCAGCTTCTCTACCTCCTGCTGCAGCTCGGCTTTCTGCTTCTCCAGCTCCTCCTTCTGTGTTACCCGCTTCACGCGGCAGCTGGCCGCATAGCCCCGGTTCTTGAGTGTGCGACGGCGCTGCTTCAGCTGAATGATCTCCTCCTTGGACAGGCCCCGCAGGTGCTGGTTCAGCTCACGAACCGACATGGTCACCAGCTCCTCATCCGTCAGGCTGGTGCCATTCTCACCTGGCTCCCGCTTCACCTACAGTAGCATAGCACAGGGTGGCAGCTGAGCAGGGCGCTCGCTCCACGTTGCCCAACCACAGCCTCCCCTGTTCTGCCCACTCACCTTCAAGGCCTTGCTTCCTTTATTAGGGGTCGTCATAACCCGGGGCACAGTGAGCAGCCACTCTGCAAGACACAGGGCAGGGGTCAGGACCCTGCAGACCACGCCATCCCTGCCCTGCCCTCCCCAGTTCATACAAGTTTCACATACACATCCTTCCAGGGAGCCTGTCACCCAGCCCCCAGAGCCCTGCCCCTAATATGCCCATTCCCCTGGTACCTTGGGCTTTGCCTCTCCTGAGTTGGGCTGCTCCTGACCACCCTGCCCCTAGAGAACCAGGTCAGGGAGATCTGATGGGGGAAGGGGAACTGAAGGCTATGAGGGAGCCAGGGGCAAGACAAAGGGGCAGGGGGAGAGATTAGAAGGAATAATCTGCGGGAGGGGCAAGCCTAGAAGGAAGCGGAGCTTTAAAAATAACCCCAGTGCTGCCCCAGAGCTCACTGTGCCTGGCGAGTCATGCTGACTCAGCATACCCCTCCCTCCAAGCCCAGCCTGCTCTTGAGGCCAGCCAACAGCCAGCGCCCCAGGAGACCTGCTGCTGGTGCCAACAGCAGGTGAGGGCCAGCCAGCGACTGTGCTGTGTATCCTAGGGTCCCACCTCCTACTGCTGTCTTAGACTCTAAGTCCTCAGGTTCCTGCTCCCTCCAGGGCTCAGGGGGTTGTCCCTTGGGGATTCAGGCCTCAATCTCCCAAAGATATCTGAGGTCAGGGGTGGGCCTCCCAGCTATGCTGTGTTTTCAGGGCTGGTCAGAGAGTCCCACCACTTTCCAGTTAGCAGGCTATCCAGCTAGGAAGAGACTCCAGACCCCACCAGTCCTCCCTGTCCACCTCCTTTAATGATGGAGTAACCATCCTGTGGCTTTAAGTTGCAGCATCCTATGCCCTGCCTCACCCCCACCAGGGTGTTTCACAAAGTTCCCCAGTTACCCGCACTGGGGGCCTGCTCAGTTGGAGGAAGGCAAGAGTCAGCCTGACTGCTCTCTGACTCCTGGTCTGGGGTCCATGCCACAGGGCCACGGAACGAAAGCACAAGGGTCAACTCCCATACACTCACCTGACTCTTTGGCACCCCAACCTCACTTTCTGTTTTCTGAAGCCCTGCCAGAACATTTTTGTGCACCTAGTCCAGGGAATCTCCACCCGGCTCAGCCTCCACCAGACCCTTGGGCAAAGACCACCCCAGTGTACTACCCACTCCTTTCCAGGTTAGATACAGGAGGTAACTGGAGAGCAAGGCCAAGCACTTCAGACAACTGTGGGGAAGGGGGGCTGAGGGGACTTCTCACCCTCACCCTCATCAGGGGAGATAGAGTGTGGCTGGGGAAGTAGGGATACATGTTCCCGCTAGAGACCCTACATTACCTAGTCTTGCACCCAGAGACCAGGTTGCATGCAGAATAGGCTGGAGAAGCCAAAGACACCTCCCCACACTAGGCCACCAAGAGCATCAGAGAGGCAAGAATTCTTCCAGATCAAAAGGCAGAAGATCAGAGTTATAGGTCCTCAAAGGATCTGCCTGTCCCACATGCTGTCCCCAAGCCCACTCCAGGAGCCAGGTCCGCAGAGCAGAGCCTACAGGAGCTCTCCCACCTTGAGCACAGACAGGATGCAGGGATGCTGCCCTGGCACAGGCTCTTCTCACCCCCGTCCTTCCCTACCCTGACTGCTAAGCACAATGACAATGGTGACTTCCTGAGGAGACCACATAGAAAAGTGCCGAGTGTGGCAGCTGGGAGCCAAAAAGTGCCTCCTCAACAGATTTCACCCTCCGCAGAAGGCCTGAACTCAGCACAAGTACAGCCAATCGTCTCCTAATCAAAGGTGTGTGAGTGCATGTGTGTATGCATGTGTGCATGGTGGGGGAAGGGCAGGTCTCAGCAAGCTGGTGCTTCCAGCTGCCTGCCTGGAGAAACACTGAGCCAGAGGAGGGGGATTCCAAGGCTGGATGATCAAGGGGTGCCAAAGAGTCAGGTGAGTGTATGGGAGTTGACCCTGACGCTTTCGTTCCCTGGCCCTGTGGCACTGACCCCATCTCAGCCCTCCTTCAGGTCTTGAAGCCTGGTGAAGGGGCCCAGGCATCCTTCACCTTTCGCTTACCTATAGGCCAACCCTGCCTCATGGAGTCACACCCAAAGACTTCCAAGAGACTCTGGGCCAACCACTCAAGGCTGAGAGCCAAGAAAGGAAAAGCAAATGGCAAGACAGCTGTCCTTGCTCCTTCGTCCTGGCCTGCAAACCCTAATTACCAAAATTCCTAGGCAGGAGTTTGGATGCTCTGGCACCGGAAACTCCAGACCCATCCTCTCCAGACAATCACCTTTTGAAAACAATCAAGTTTAGTTTCCACTGAAACAAATGACTGAGAAGACTTAAACACACACACATACACACACACACTCTGTGGAACTCTGAATTTTCCTGGAACAAAATAATTCTACACCAAGGATGAGCTAAAGTGTGAAAACACCTGGCCCCTACAAGCCCCCAGGGTTCAGTAAGCAAGAGTCTAAGTAAGACTCTCAAGAGTCTAAGTAAGAGTACAGCATTTGGGTTGGGAGCATCCCTGAGTGCAAAGCACAATGTCAGCCTAACCCAGCCAGGAACCCTGAGCAAAAGAAGCGGTACAGAAGAGTAAGTGCCTATTTTTCTGCTCCAGCCCTCCAAAGCCACACCACTCTCAGGCTGACACATTCTGAACCCCCAGCTACTAGGCTACACACCCATCAGGGCACAGTCTTCGCTAACTTTACACAACACTGAAACCCCACACTCACGTGGGCAAACTTTAGGGGCACTGGAACTGCATTCTTCTATACCATGCCGGTAACCCAAGGTTCCCACCTGCTGTCTAGGTCCCCCACTTCCTCTCATTTGCAATTTCCTGGTAAAACTGTCCCTGCTTCCTCTATGTCACACACCCCTTTTTCTCCCACTGCCTCCTGTCTTCTCCATCAGGGGAGGCCCAGCCTGGCCGGCCAGACCAGTCGCCGGGCCCTACCAGTCGCAGAGAATGCCAGCTTCCCAGCCGGGCAAGCTCAACCCACCTAAGCTCCTCCCATCTTCTCACTCAGAAAACAGTTTCCCAGTTTGGGGAACTGCCCCAGCCGTGGGATCAGGGCCAGCAGCCCGGGGAACTGCCTGAGAGGGATGCGCAGGCCCGGGCTTCACCTTCCACCCCGGGAGAAAACCTGCAGCGTGACACCCACGCCCTCCTCGCAGTCTGCAAAACTTGAACAGGGCCCGACCTCGCCGCCCCGCACCTTGCCCTCCTTCGGCCGCCGCGGCCCGGCCCGGCCCCCGCCCCCGCCCCAGCCGAGCGTCAGCGGGAGCACCGAGTGACCTCATGCTGATGACTCAGCACGTCTCCGCTGGGCTCGCACGCGCGTGGCGGGCCGAAGCCGCGCAGCGGGGTCTCCCCGCCGCCGCCGCCGCCCCTGCCGCCCCGCGGGGACCCAGCGCGCGGAGGCGCGACAGACACCTGATGAGTCAGCAGCTCGGCCCGGCGCGACCGCCCGCGG